CGTCGAGGAATCACGATGATGATGGTATCGAAACCGAATCTCGAACGTGCTATTCGATATTCCATCGAAAGCGAGAAAAAGGAAGAAGAAGAAGAAGAAGAAGAAGAAGAAGAAGAAGAAAAGGAGGAAACGTAGAGAAAAGAAGGAAGGAGAGGAAGGGAATGGAAAAATGGACAGCGTTCCCCGCTGCCAGATATTCTCTATCGTTAATGAGTCCGGACTAGCACCAATTAAAGGAGACGTTCGATCCGATCGAAGCGTAGATCGCGCTTGTCACTTTGGTCCCCGGGTTATCGAGCGATCCGACTTTCCACATGGATCGGTATCTACACGGCCAAGCTTTTACGAGCCGTACGCTCCATTCGAGAGATATCCAGCATGACACCTGAGATTCTAACTCGTTCCCCGCGCGGATAACGAGAAACGCTTTCTGAACGAGTTCCGCATGCGCGCGCGTGTGTGTGTCCGTATATCGATCATAGTCTTTCGATGACCTTGGACGGAGGGAGGGGAGGATCTATACGATCTATCACGAACGAATCTCGATCCGATCGCGCGGATCTTCGCAACCTGGCAACCAGTTACCCGCGCGATTGAACGGTTTGATCGGTCGCCGCCACAGTGAAAAATTATTAAACCGTGGAGAAATGCGGAAATTCGATTCTCGATTTCGCGCAGATATATATATATATATATATATGTAGCTGGAAATATACGTGGTGGCCTTTTGCTCGAACCGCGGAATCGTCTCCTCGAGATTAATCGTTCAAATATTCACGCGGATCTTTCTTTCATTTTCGTTGTCCAATTTTGTTGAAAGTTTCCATTGTTCCGATACCATCTTTCTCGCGTGGCGGATGAACAGATGAGTTCGAATGAAATATTTCGGTCAACAACGCGCGTTTCGAGTAACGCGAAAGGGGGATGAAACGAAAATTTCGACGCTTCGTTATTTCGCGTTCGAGGACGAAGTATCGAGGAACAGAGATAACAGAGAATAAGAAAGATTTTTCTTTTTATAATAATCTCTAAATTATACAAATATATACCCTCCTATTTTTCGAGATCGAGCGAATAATTTCGAAGAATTGAATACCACACAGAAGGATGATACCATCAAGGCGGAATCGCATCAGCTTCCTCGACGCCGTTCCCCCTTCTTAGCCTCCTACTCTCTCCCCCTTTCCCCCTGACCGCCCACGGAAATGGAGCAAAGAGCAATGGAGTCGAGATCGCGAGGAAATAAATGGTAAAAGGGGTAAAGGATGGGATGGGAAAGAGGATATGTCCAGGGAGGGAGGAAGGAAAATGAGGAAGGAGTGGACGGCTTCATATGGTCCGGCGAACTGGCCAATTGCTCGACCATTGAAGAGCGTATTTCGCGGCGGATCAGAGCGGTAGGAAGAATCGCAAACTCAGCGGTCGCTTCTCTATCCCGGTCCCTCGCGAACATCCCCTCTATTTTCCTTCGCTCTTCGTGCCTCTGCGATCTCCAAAGTCTCAGACTCGCACACATACCAAAATACACACGTACTCGTAATAATAAAATATATATATATATATACATACATACATATATACACGTAGACGCGAAATGCAAGCGTTTCACGCGCCGCATTTCCGCTTGTCACAAGATCCACATTCCATAAGATTCCGTATTTTTGACAAAATCCAACCTGTCCTGCGGATTCCTGTTTCTATTCTATTGTTGTTCTATTTTTTGTTTTTTTTTTTTATTATTACTTCTTTTCTTCTCTCAAATTGAAGATCGTCGAATTGTTTAAACAAAGAAAAGGAAACGAAAGCAAAGCGGAATCTGTCGCATTTGGTCTATAGATCGATTCGATTCGGAAATTCAAACGAAAGAGAAAGAAAATTGAGAAGAGAGAAAGAGAGAGAGACGAGACAAAGACGAAGAGGGTACGGTGACGCGAAATTTCGTTGATTCGACGCCTGGATTTACGCGTTTCGTCATTGTGATTAATCGCGGCGGATATTAGTTTTAACGAAACGAAACGACAGAAAAAAGGAAACGGTATTGTGGTGCACGTCCAACAAACCAACGATATAAGACAACATCAGCCGGTAATGCGAATAATTGGGAAAGATAATCGCCATGACGAATCGAAATCGTATCCATTAACCTTTCCATCGTCGCTTTGGAAGCGAGCGATTCTCGCGACCGGTTGCGTCTTCTCGAGAGTAAAGAAAACGGATGAACGGAAGAGAAAAAAATGCGAATGCGAGGAAGAATGCGGGGAGCGCAAAAGCGCCGCGTAACCGCGTAAGGAGACGCGAGAAACACGCGTATTAATATCGAAACGCGCCATCGTTCGAAGGGGTTGAAGTACGTTTTGCAGAAAAAAAAAAAAACACGTTTCGTTTCAAAGTTGGCCGCGACCGTCTCTCCTCGCGTGGAGACGGTCTAAGGACCTCCTCTCGTCGTCGAGGAGTAATAACTTCCGGATTAACTTTAAGTGGAGAAGTTCTTCCGTGTTGCCTATACCTGTGTAAAGTCGTGCACGTACATGTCGCGGCTCCGTGGTTATACACACGACGACTCTCTATGCGTTTCGCAAGACGAGACAGCAGAATTTGACGTCAATTTAACTCATTTCGCGGAATCGATCGAGAAGATCGCTCCAGCTTTGCTCGCTGATCGTAATCACCGTTCCTCCGTACTTGCTCGTCTTCCTCTTTCTCTCTTTTGCTCTCTCTCTTCTCTCGAGTCTCTAGAGTCGTCTATATAAATTCCTTTTTTTGCTTCTCTCCTCGAGGATCGATCTAGACCGCAGCGACTTTTCTCCCTTCCCTTTGTGTCTCAAAAATAACTTTCGTGGAATTTTGTGCAACGATTTATAAATTAGTCGCTGCATTTATCGATATTCGGATGGATATCGGTGAACGGTGTACCAACGAAGATGATTTTTCGTTACAAAAATAAGTATATATGTGTATATTCGGTTTGAAATGTTTAATCCCAATCGAGATTGGATATTTCTCTTGATGGTTCATCGCGTTTTATTTTTTCAAGTCGAAAACGAGGATCGAAGGATTTCGGTCCTTTTTTATCGACGCATTATCGGTTATCGAAATAAAGTGTTATCTCAATAATCATTTCTCGTTTCCTTCCAATTTTCGATGAGTTTTAATATCGTTTAGTAGAAACGTTAAATCTGGTACATCGTTCACACGTTCTTTAAGTTAAGAATTCGAGAATCAACGGCGCGAGTCAACTTATTCGATTCGAAGAATTATTTATTTATTATTTACGAGTAACTTATACATTTTTCATACCGCTTCATTTTCTTTTTTTCTTTTTCTCTCCCTTCTCTTTTTTTTTTTTTTTCGTTTACGATCCTTTCGTACTTCCGTTGCAATAATCGACCCGTTGTTCAACCCGTTATTCTCTCCCTTAACATCAGATCGTAGTTGGTGCATCGATTTTCATAAAAATTCACACGCATGCACATACCTCTCGCTTGAAACATTTACCGCTATGTGTTCCGGATCTACCTTTCACTGTGTTTCGCTTCGAAAGATCCTTTGTTAATGCGATCCCCGTGAATAACGAGACTTTGTTTCCGTCATTAACGCGTTGCCTGGTATCGTGAATAAGAGCTTTGTAGCCTTCGGTTTACGTTTCAAAAAATTCTTCCTTCCTTCCTTCCTTCCTTCCATCCATCCATCCATCCATCCGCTCGATTGATTTTTCTTCCAATTTAAATTTAAATCGAGTTTAAATTTAAATCCCGCACGCGAATATCCTCGAAACGAAGATAAGAGAAATCGAAGATACCAGTCGACGCGTTTCTCGTCATCCTTTCTCAGAACAAATCAAAATGGAGCAAGCGTATCCCAAAATCCAAGTTATTTTTTACTTTACAAAGTAGTGTTCACGATATGTAATTTTTATACTTCCTTCATCTTCTCTCTTTTCTCGCAAGTTACGCTCTCTCGACGCATCTCCAAGGTTAATCCAAGATGTAGTTGGCATTGTTGGCGACGCGATCTCTCTTTCTCGTGCTGACCAACTTTCCTTTCTCCCCCCTTTTTATTATCATTCAAGAATCTGTTAACACGAAACGCAAGATGGAAGAGTCGAATCGATGGAAGTTATTGGAGCAAAGAAATTTCTCGCAATTTAGGGAAGGGGCGGAGTAAACGGAGTTGAAAAATCCCCCTCGTCGGGGGGATTCGTCTAATCCAAGCGGCATGTTGAGGAACATTGATCGCGGATTAACGTCGATGGGTTTACGGACAAAGCCGGAAACCGGCGTCGAAACGACGGATTGACGGTTGTACAGGTCGGTTAGAGATTTATCAAGGGGGTTGGGCCGGCCACGTACGAGATTACGATTTAAGTGAAACCCCGGGTAGGGGGCGGGGCTCGCTGGGAAACGATTAATGAAATTGAACGGCCCGGTTTCCGCAGCGAGAGCTCGAGTCTAACGGAATTAATGACGCGCGCCGCGCGTAACCGTGGAAATGTTCATTACACCCGTTGAGAAATGACGCGGTTCGTTTCCCGGATTTTCCAATTTCTTCAATCTGCCACGCCAGGATTAGGAGATCCTCGGGGAGGGGAAAAATGACCAATCCGCGCAATTTCCAGCGCGGAAATTAGCGAAAATTA